TTTCCACTTAACGAGCTAGGTTAATGTTTTTCTTTTAAATACATTTTTTATTGGTATCTATCTTCATTTTGTACATTTACCAGTAGCTGCCTCATTTCCCACCCTCGGCTTATATTCGAGTCAATACTTTTTCCCAGTTTTTTGTGGTAAAATTAGGTACCTCGGCTTATATTCGGGATGGCTTATACTCGAGTATATACGGTATTAGTGAGTCGGGGTGAGCTTTTCACAGACACTGCTACTTAAGTCTTTCACTCAGCAAATTAGTCCATATACTAATCTGTTGAGAATGTTCCATGCACCTATTAATTGACTGTTCGGATCAGTAGTAGAACAATGCCTTGGTCAATCTACTCTTTTATAGAGGCAAACACGATTCTTTCTTGTGGCTTCCTTACACTCTTCCCTTCCAATTAAATGTATATTCTGCCTCTAGTTGTAATCCTTCTGTACTGTCTACAGATCTGTTTTTTTCTGCTTTATACAGCTGCTTTTTATTTTATTTTTTAATCCTCTTAAATCTGTTCTGCTCTGTTTCTGACTCACACTCAAGTTTTGATCGCCAGTCTACACCAATGTCTTTTTCCTCTCCTTTCCTTGTTATGCCATGGCCAAGCTCACAGGAAATTCTCACCTAGGAATTGCTGCAGTGGACGCCATATGAAAGCTGAGTTACCCCTAGTCTCAGCAATAGTTATTACCCTGCTTCACCTATATGATGCCAATTTACACCAATTAACACTTGTTGGCTGCTCATGGACCATTAGCGGTCCTAATAGCACATTGTGAGAATTGCTGATCTGCAAGTTCACCTGAACACCCTAGTTGTTGCATAGAAAGTCCTTAAACAATGAGCAGGGGAATGAGGTGCTAGATTGCTAAGTATAAACCTATCCAACATTTTTGTCCCACTTTTTACTCATGCTTTCAGTTGTTTTTTTTTTGTGATGCTCCCCATCTGTCAAATGTTCTCAAATGTGCTAGATCCTTCGGCAGCTTAGTGAATAGACCCCTAAGACTCTGAACACGTTTCGTTTTAATGCACCTGGAAAGTGTTCAGCTAATGTAAACTGAAAGTTCAATTGGGATTTAATCTACTGATGCAAAAAGTCCTAAAACAATCCAGGGATAGAAAAAGTAGCTGTGGATGGTCAAGATTTTTAACTTGAACCAACTGCTGGCATAGCAAATTTTATGAAGCTTGCTTATCTCTGTTGCTCATCTTCTGTACTTACATCCACTTCATTTAGACCTTGACGTTTTTTTAGCAGTGTCCTCATTCCCAGTGTTTTGGAAATCTTCTTTTGGTGTGTTTTAACCATGCTAAAGGTGACAAGGTCTACCAACACAAACAAGCACTATCTTCAAGACCAGGGGTGTCTGGAGACCCAACATCAAACAGATTGCAAACCCCTTAATAATCTGCTGATAGGCAGAACAGTTATCTGATAAAGGTAACATTCTTTCCAAAAATGTCTGTGAAAAGGGTGAATTTTAGTTTAGCTTTTCACCAAAATATTTTATTTTGGAAGACAAAGATATTAATATCATGCATATAATAAATTGCATATATAATGGCATATACATCATGCAAGGACAGACCTACAAAGCAAGCCATTTCAATTGCTTCATCTATTTTCTTAGAAAGTGTAGTTCTATTGCTATTCTTTGTATGTCATGAGTTGCTGGTCCAATGAGGGATCCAGGCACCTGCAAATCTTTCAATCATTCATAGCAATGAAAACACCTCCATGTGCATTATGGATGCACTCACACCAAAATCAGAAGAAAATTACAAGTCAGTGGAGAATCCATTGACTTGCAATTGTACCTGTCAATTTCCTTTCGAACCATTGTGTTTTGCGATCCGTTTTTCCACAGATGCTAACAGAAGGGCAACGAAAAATGATTGGTTGTTGAAAAACATATTGCAACGCAACGGATACAGTGTGAATGGGCCCCACATTTTCTTTGTACTGCAATGGATCTTTTGCTTCTCTGGATACATCGCATGAAATTTTAAATCCACTTATGTTTCTCGTTCTATTCACATGTACACAAGCTTTTTCATGCACTCATGTCGTTTCAGCAGGCTGTGTAAACGTATACATCTGAACAGCCTCATTCATTACAATGACAAGCAAAAGAAGAATCTAGTCTATACTGTATGTGCTGCAAAAATACTGCAAACCACAAGCAAATCACGGAGGTGAATGAGCTTTAAAAGTACAACATAAACAGCGACATTAAAAAAAAAAATACAACATTGTGAAAACAAAGTTGTAAAACAAACTTCTTGTTCATACAGTGATAGGCACTAACAGTATCCAAGCATTCCCAGTTGCCAAGAACAGAGGCAGGTTTTAAAAATGTCTTCCTATTTTCCCCTAGAAATGTCTAATATTAAACTATTTATTTCATAATACTAATACAGCATTCGGCAAATCCTAATGTTAACTCACAGCAAACTTGCTTGACAACTTTGTAAAATGATATAAAGTAGGAGCAGAATGTTTTATTATCCAAATCCTAGAAACGTGCCATGGCATGATCTTAGCTGGTAATATAAACTAGCATTTTTAAGATCTTAAGGTGCAGTGCATACTGAAAAGTATATTCATGTTATATGTCCAATGGTGGGCACAGAGCTCAAATAAGAGTAGAAAGTGCCCGGGTGCGCTCAAGGCAAGTTGATACAAAGAGTCCAGTGGCACTCATGGGTCCTGTATTGAAGCAACATAAGTAAATGTATTTGTGTTGCTTCAATACAAGACCTGTGAGTGCCTCTTCCACTGTTATATACACATACATTAAACTAACGAAACATGGAGCTGAAGGCATTGATTAATACAAAATAGCACAATTTTTACACATCAGCTCTGTGCTGTACATGTATTGAATTTTAGTCATTTATGTTTTTTTCAGTTATACCAAAAATACAAAATGAAAGTATAGAACTGAGAGTTGAATGCCATTACCTTGAGTAATGAAGAGCAAAGAAATGACATTTCTTCTGTCCATCCTATAATGTTAGACACAGAGAGCGTAGTCACAATGTATAGACCCCTTGTGTATATATCCTGGAAGCAGCAGGCAAGCAGAAAGTTAAAAGCTTTCCTAGCTATGCACAGTTCTTATACTACAAGGCAGCAGAGCATTGACTGGGAGGAGACACAGACTGATTCAATGAGCGCACACCAGTCAGCAAACAGCAGCTCTGGGTATTTATCACCCTCCCTCCCTTTATTGCTGGCACAGGTTGTGACTCAGTCTGTAATTGTGTGCCCACTCAGTGATAACCTGCGGAATGCAGGGTGAGCACAAAACAGCATTAGTAAGGACAGAAGAGTAGTATAACATACAATGGGACAGTGCAGGAAACAAAGTATGCGACTATTTCTCTACAACAGACACTGATAATTGCTAGAAGCATTCTGAGTCAAGGCAAATATCAAATTACAGTTGAATTATTATGCCTTCAAAGTGCCTTCCTGGTTAAATAGAAACAATGATAAGTTGTGGGTTAGAAAGTCACCTCGCTCTGGTGTTTTGTGTAGCTATCCTCTCCTTTATATCCTGTCTTTTTAATTTCCTTCCTAGCAAGATGATGCTTTGCAAGAAAATAGAGGTAGAGCAGAGTGTAGATAGATGTATACAGATCAGATGAGATAAAAATCTCAGTAGCCCACAGGCACAGAAAACCAAGCACCTTACACTCCACCCATTAACACATGCCAAGCCATGCCAAGCCACGCCACAGCTGGGCTGATAAAAATGCAGAGACAAAGCTAGAATGTAATGAAGATACCTTAAGGTGCGTTGCCAGCATGCTAGCTGTATTCCTGGACTCTCCTTTTGACCTAATATCCAATTGCTGTACAAATCTTATAGCCTTTACCTCCCTATTATTTACTAAATATGCCCCCTCCTAACCAATGACACCACAAAGTTATTAATTCACTCCATTCTTGACATGGGGAATTGTATATTTTTGCGGTTTCACAGGCGCACGCAATATTAAAGGAGAACTATGAGATGAGTGATTTCCACTCACCTCATAGTTGTAGCCGACCTGTGACAATGAGACTGTCACAGGTTGGCTCAGTAGATCGGGAGGTGAGCGAACACATACCAGGTTCGCTCACCTCTCGATCCTGTCACGGCTCTCTGCTGTGACAGGGGAGAGGCTGGATTCCCCTCTCCCCGCTCCGATCTGCCAGCGCTGACTGGCGGAACGGACAGGGGAGGGGGCGGGTACAGCTGGCTCTGCCTCTAGATAGGCAGAGCCAGCTGTCACTCACGCAGCTGGGCGGATCTAAGTCTAGCTGTAGCTCGCGGTATACTGAGCCTAGGGTGACGGGAGGACGCTAGTTTGTGTCCTCCCGTTACCCTAAGGAGAACTATGGGGAAAAACACTGACCCCATAGTTCTCCTTTAAGGCTTGACATGTTTGGTACGCCTAAGCTGATTTTTGTTGCCTAATTCACCTCCAATGATTCCAGAAAAATGAAGTGGGGGGCTAATCAGGCATACAGATATTGAATCAACCAGGTAAAAGTAGAACAATGATATTTCATTCTTATCATTCCACATAAATGCACGTAACCTTTAAGTATAAAAGTCAATTTAAAATAAAATATCTTACTATGTGACTTTTATACCTCCACATCTTTAATATTACCAGCGTCATTGTGTATGTCCCTTTCTATTTTCTTATTTATACTTGCTGATCGTGTCAGTATATGGAGCTTGAGCCACTTTCTGCAAAAGGGTAACAATGCTGTCGCCAACTAGGGAAATACTGTATCTACAGGGATGTCACTCTTTCCTCCTCGCTGCTGTTGGAATAAAGGTGAGTGACATGATTCTGTCTCTTCTCCAAGTGGCCAGCATTGTCACCAATGAGGAAGAGGTGGTGTCACTCCCATAGTTGGCATGTCATGGCCAGTCCTACCCCCTTTACTGACAGTGCTATCACAGTCTAGAAGAAAATGCTGGGAATTGAAGTCCCTGGTACCAAAAGCAGATGTTCTTGGTATCGATGAATTCCACCGCAGTTGCTTATGGAGAAAAACCATGATCACCTGACTGCCAAAAAAGGTACATTTAGGCAATAATTTAATAATGTATCAACTTAACAACATAATGCTTTGACTGCGCTTCTACCCAAAGCCAGTATTCATTAAGGTTGACAAATGCTTTATTGTTTAAGTAATGAATATTATCGATTCACATATTATATGTTCATTTTTGCTATAAACTTGCACAACCATCTTTTAATCTTTAAAAAAAGTAAACTTGACTTTTATACCAGAGTTTTCCCTAATCCTGTCTTAATATGAATATTTTTTCTTATTCTCTAACTTAAATTTGGCTTCCTGAGATTGTTAAAATAGTTACTGTATATATCATGCTCTGGGAGAATGTGTTCCCATTGTTAGTGACCGCAGTTAAAAGGGAAATTCTTGTGACAATAACAATGCTGTATTATTAGGGTACCCACTGTGTTGGTGTTGGCAGTGGTCCTACAGAGATGACTCAGACGTTATGTGCTTCATCTTGCAATGACACTGGGACACACGGAGGGACTTGTGTTTTCAATAGCCTCTATCTAGGGAACAGTTTTTAATTGTACTATTGTAAGCTATGATAAAAAAAAAAAATGACAAAGCTGAATCCTAGAAATCTTTGAAAACCAAAAAACCCAAAGAGATTGTGGTTCGTGAAAGCAAATTGAGAGCAAATTTACACAGTTTTAAGGGTCACATTTACTATGCACCCGATAGTAGAAGAGAACAGTGCTGACCGAAAGGCTTTTAACTGCAAAATCCTTTACTCTGTCATATCTCAATTTTTCACACACTGCTATAAAGCAGGGGTAGCAGTGGCGTAACAATCACCATAGCGACCCAGGCGGCCGCAGTGGGGCACAGTGGGGCCCGGCCAGATGCCGTGCGGGCTACCTGGGTCGCTATGGGATCCTCTGCTGCTGGCTTTCACTGGCAGCTGAAGACGAACACGAGGCTGTTCAGATCACTGACAGTAATCTGTGCAACAGCGCGTTCCTCTCCACAGAGTAAATGAGAGCCAGCAGCGGCAGGGGAGGAGGAGGCGGGGCCGTGGTTGGCAGCAGGGCAGGGGCGCAGCCCGGTGACAAAGAAGGAGGCGGGGCTCTGGTCGACAATAGGGGAGGAGGCGGGGCCCGGTGACGAAGAAGGAGGCAGGTCCGGCGACGGAGGAGGCAAGGCCTATCAGCAACCGTGGAGGAAGAGGAGGCAGATAGGTAAGGAGTGTGACCAGCCCACCTGAGGGTGACCCTGCATAGCCCACCATAGAGAGTCTATGGTGAGCTCTGCAAGTTTGCCCTCAGGTGGGATCTCGAGTGTGCTCTGCAAGGGGTATAACTAGAAATCAAGGGGCCCCATACAAAATTTTGCTATGGGGCCCTGTGATTTCTAGTTACCCCCCTGAGGGGTAGGCAAAGTTTGGCTCTCCAGCTATGGTGAAACTACCATCATGCATCTGTTTCTGGAGTCATGGCTGTGGCAGTCAGAATCTAGCAATGCCTCATAGAACTTGTAGTTCTATCACAGCTGGAGGGCAAGTTTGCATGCCCCTGCTATAAAGAATAATGGCATTTCCTGTCTACAAGTAAAGGGTGTGCTATTGGTTCCACAAGGTAAGGTAGATACCTAATTCAGAACTTTGCAAAGAAAAGCAGTAAACCTAAGAGAGTTTTTTTCTGGTATGCTGAGATCATTGTCACCAAAGATACCTAGCAGACACAATTTTGGATTGTATATATTGAGTGAGTCAAATTCTGGGAAGTCAATTCAGTAATCTTGGATTAGAAGAGTCAGATTTTGATACATCACCATACCATATATAGAATATCTTCATCCACCCTTTACAATCACAAAAATTTCCCAGCACACTTACCAACTAGCCTGAAAAATATACTATATAACAATCTTCATTAAAAACAGGCCTTTTAGTTGCAGAACTTTTGCAAAATATGTGGAAGCTGCACTGCCTCGTCAAGGCCCCTCTGTGTAGTGTGGTCCTAGTTCTAATCTATGAGATCCTCCATCTTGAAGCAAATATAGGAAAGGATGTATTGCAGATATGCCTGGAGATAGCCCAACCTCCTTAAAGGGGCACAAGGACACGCTAGAAGCCCAGCACATCGCAATCACAACGGCGAACACACAAACTATCTTGACGTTCGGCGGGCTGTTCTACCGCCGAGCGCCCCACAAGGCATTGCGCACCGCACAGTGCCTTATGAGAGCCCTGATTGGGTAAAGCAATGCACCTGACCATAGGTCAGGTGCAAGACTTTGCCCAATCATGGCACAGTGCACTGTAAGAGCCATGATTGGACAAAATAATGATGACTTTGCCCATTCATGGCTCATAGTTAAGTCTCAGCCCTACACTATATAAGGCTGCTTACACAGCAGTCTTATGTAGTGTGTTGCTGGAGTTAATAATAGAGTGTTGCTGTCAGTGTAGTGTAGTGCAGTGTAGTGTAGTGCAGTGTAGTACAGTACAGTGTAGCACAGTGTAGTGCAGTCTAAGGAAAGATAAGTGGTGTCAGTGCTTTATACAGCAGTTTAGTGCTATATACAGTACTCTGTAATTCAGTCATCTAATCTTCATTCCTTTTACCTAACTGACTTGACTCATCTAAGATACCTCCTTGCCTGTTCATCTCCTCCTATATTGACCTTAACCGGTCCAACAATGTCTTCTGGCTTACTTATGGTACCTTGCTGCGGCAAGTTGCTGCCCTCTCCTGTTCCTGTTCTATGGGTTCTACCTCTTCAGCTCCAGCATTAGTGAGGGGGATCCTACATGCTGCAGAAATATAGTGATGTGTGTTGGTCTATGCATCATTATACTGTAAGCCCTGATATACACAGGGATGGATTTACTTTCTCTGCTCCCCCAAGGCCAGGTTCCTCAATACGCCCCCCAATGGAGAATAGCAACCAGATGGCTGGGGAGGCAGGGTTAGTTTTATATTTTTTTTATCACTTTTTCTGTTTATTAATTTTT